TCTTTGGCAGTCCGTATAAGCGTGCTATGGCAGCATCTTGTGGTTTCATCTGTCGCCAATCGTTTTCAGATATTGCCTGTTGGCTCCTCACTAGACTCAGACTCTTGTTGATTTTTGCCACCAATATTTTTATGGGATCGGAGTCAATGAATTTGTATGACTGGTTATCGTCCAGTAGCTCCTGGGCTTTTGCTACGTACTCTGACTTGTCCACGGTTGCCCGTCCTTTGTCTGAAAACGATTGGCGGCTGATGAAACCACAAGATGCTGCCATAACACGCTTCTACGGAGTGCTAAAGATCCACCATTCTGCCTATATCATGAGCTGCTGTGCGGCTGCTGGTTGGACTCGTGATAGAGTGAGTTCCGTAAGAACGATCGGTGAGCGTCCCTCTATCATTATATGTGCATATATATTTTGAAGATGGCGGGTTCTTTGGGAAAAGTAAGAACTTTATTAGCAAATTTTCGAAATTGGTTCCCCAGCTCGTCGTCAGACTTCTGGGTTATGTACAAAAACAGTTAACTATTGAAACCGTATCGAACAAGTGATTCTGTGGTTGGCCGAAGTCTGCGCCAATGCGCGTCAATGATTTTTCGTCATTCCCTCGGCATTAGCTGCGCTCGCTTCCATTTGTCCTTGAGAAATTTTTACGTGGCATCTAGATCGATATGCCGATTGATGCATGCCTCATCTGAGAGCACTGCTTCAAGGAATTCACGGCCTCTCCTTATAGGGTAGGCGCCAACAATGCGCATGTTCTCCCATACAAATTGGTGCCCGGTGTCCGATGTGTGCATAACCACCTGGAATAGATGATCTCGTCTATGATCTCGTCTCTTCACCGCTAACTGATGCTAATGTATACGGGTTGAGACAGCTTTCGCGGTCTGGCCACAATAGACGGCATCACAACTGGTACATAACATCTTGTAGATAACACCTTTTCTATCGAGATAACCAACCCTGTCCTTAGGGTGTACAAGCTGTGTACGCTAGGTGGCTGCAGGTTGGTGTGCTACTTGTATCTGATGTTTCTTTCAGCTGTGTTTCGACGAGTTCAGATACATTTTTCACGCATGGGAAAGTTCGCCAGGTGAATGTTTTTTGGCGCCTGGATGGCCGTATTGTTCGAAATACCTTTGTGTTTAAACTCATGCTTCATGC